CAATCACGCCCCTTTCCGATAACCAATCAGAGTAAAGTATTAAAATACCTCTGGGGGTAGGTGTAGTGTTTTTACTTGTATCTGGAGTGGGCGTGGGGAATATATTTTGTTTCGTGGCCGTATTTACAATATCTGTCAAAATATTTGCTACACGTGCCAAATGACAAGCTCGCATGTAGTACGAACTCCAACAAAAACCCCGATTAAAATCTACTTCCCTCGGGCAAACGATTATTGCCGATTTTGCAACGAAAACGTCAAGATAAATGGCTATTCTCAATTGAATATTTTCACCGAGAAGAATCGAGATTTTCTGCGCCGCTTTAGGCTTGTTGTGAACGCCAAAGTTGAAAACAATTCCAAGGTATCACAAGTGCTCTGTAATAAGTGCTACAGGCCTGTCCTAAAGCATGAAAAGGCACTTAGTCGATCCGAAGAATTACAAGAGTTCAGGAACAAATACAAAGTAGTAAACATAGATGTCGGAGAATTGACGCGACGCAAGAGATGTGCGAAAGATTCTCCTTATATGCCCGACCACTCATTTACATAGGACACCTCAACCCATGATGCAATCCGAGCCAACTTGAACCAAACCCCACCCAGGCGTTTTTGAGTTTTCTTTTTCGCCGTCAGTAATTTCTTTTCGCCGTGAGCAGTTTCTTTTTGCCGTGAGTAATTCTTTATGCCGTGAGCAATTTCTTTTCGCTGTGAGCGATTTCTTTTCGCCGTGACAGTTGTGGGCCACCGTATCCAAGCAGTTTGACTGGTTTTAGTGGAACTGTATTTGGAACGGCCAAAAAGAATGGCGTCTGAATCGGCAGCCGTACTTTTGTTAATTTGGGTCGCTAGAGTGGCCTTGTGGTCAGCGGTGTCGGACTCGCAGTCCGTCGTTCCTGGGTTCGAGTCCCGCCCTGACTACTACCTGGATTTGTTTCACAGTGGCTCCGAGTTCAAATCCTCGGTCATCCTTGTAAATAGCCAACTGCTTTGCCCTTGGCCAGATGGGATTCTTAATAATGTTATTTTCAATTTGAATTATTTGTTTCAGTTGTTTGGTGGAAAACCTGTAAAACTAGCTTTCAGTTAAGTGTTTCTCCACGTTAAATAAAGATTATTACTATTATTATTATTATTTAATCAACAAAAGTGTCAGGCTTTTCCGATATTCAGATTGGTTGTCTAGATATCCACATCTAAGTTGGAGTAAGGAAAAATTTTTTAAAACATTTTAAAATAAAAATCTGCGATAAAATATTGGAAAACATTACACGACGTTTCCAGAACGTCATTATCAACTGAGAATGAAACAACAAAACGAAGATATATATAGATGAGAAAATGAATACATTAAGAGTCATTGAGAGTCAAACGAAGAGCTTAGCCTCAATGGGAGTCGCTCTGGGTGTTTAAATTAGG